ATATACAACAGGGGAATCCCAAATAGTGACCCTGACCTTCGAAATAAAAATAGATGCATTTTTATGGTAACAATGTTGAGTTGTAGACTGCGACAGTTTCAATGACAGTCTTTTGTGCTTTCTTAAATCATTAATATAAGACAAATGTCCTGCAGTTTGTGTCAAAATCTCACCTTATGTAGCTTATTTGTTCACAATTCATGATTCCCCCCTGCAACTTGGCTGTCCTTGGCGCCGAAAAGAAGCCGCTTGTGTCATAGCAAAGTATTTATGGGGTGTTCAAGGATAAATTTTGTGCAACGTTGTTTTTTATTTGATATGCATCCATTTTTGTGTGTTCTGTAATTTGACATTCATCCGTGCAAGATAGTTTTTGTGCATGAATTTATTTCCTGCTCATCATGAAATGCGTTTGTTTAAACATTCTCCAGTGCACGTACCCCACCTCCTTTTATCACCCTCATTCCTGTTTATTTCGGTATCGGGTCCGTTCGCCCTAATAACATGTTCGCCCTGGATCTGTTCGCCCTACTTTGGAAAAAATAATGATATTCAGGGCATTGAAGTTGACTATATACACAAATAAATTTAGATGTCTTATCAAATTTCCAAGAATTATAGTAAAGCAATGTAGCATGGGTTTCATTATGCAATGCAACTTGTTCCATATTTTGAGTTAGAAAATTAATATTACAAAACAGCTTGCAGCAAACATTTGTTTTAATAGCTATCACCTGGGGAAAATTATTAATATATCAAGGATATTTTTATAGTGATATATACTATAAAAATCCATGTTAATACAAAGAATAATTTTAGGTTGGCCTAAGTAGGCAATGCCAAGTTCTGCAGCCATTTAAGTGCCTATATTGAAGTTTACTATTTGTTGTATAAAATCAGTTTCTCAATGGAAGTAAATGTATAATATTTCCTTCATGTAGGCCCTCCTCCTTAGTAAAAAAAGCAAAAGAGATAAAGGGTCAAATTGAAGAATATCTTCAGAATTACCAGCCCTTAAAATCATTGCCAAAAGTTGGAGATAGATAAAATAAAGTTGATGTCTAATTAGCAAGTGATAGTAATATTCCCAGGTTAAATTTCGTTTGATTGCAAAGCTATAAGTAAACCTTAATACAAGAACATAAACAAGTTTATGAAGCCTGAACAGACATGGATAAATAGATGTACCTAATACACTTTTATTATGTTTTTATATGCTATCCTCTTGTACACGTTGAAGTGTAATAATTAAATCAATGAAGTTCTATGCATATATACAAAAATTGGTCTAGTGGAATTCATGACATCTATTTTATGTTTTATCTCCTTGTTTTCTAGATCCGATGAACAGGAACCACCACAAAAAAAAAACCGAAGAAAAAGACAGCTGATGATGTCTACAGTCTGCAGCGTCAAGTTTTGGAGAGACAATTAATTAAAACAAACCTCCAAATTCAGTTGTGTGAAAGATTACACACCTGTACGAACTGTGACGCCCGTATATGACACTGAAACCAGGCGTAAATATCATACTTTTTCCGGGCGTCATTGCAGTGTTTAAGAAATGCATGTCCAGGCGCCAACCAGGCGTCAACCAGGCGGAAACCAAGCGTAACTGAGGCGGAAACCAGGCGTAAAATTAGGCGTAATATTTAAATGAGTACGCCTGGTCCAGAGAAAACCAGGCGTAATATGCAAATGAGTACGCCTGGTCAATAAATAAACCAGGCGTAATATCCTTACATAATACTACACTTATTTCAAATCAGTGTATTACCCTAGCTGTGTACTTTTGTGTATTTAATACAAACTTCTGTACTGTTGCTTTAATTTCTCATTGTTTGACATAAAACTGGAAATATTAACCATTGAAGAAGCTAATATATTAATAAATACATTTTAGACAGACACTGGCTCAAATAAGTTTAAAGTTTAAATAAGAATTATGACAATTATTTTTTCTTGAAATAAAACTTAAGCATTTTTATTAACTAAGTTTTTTATAAATTAATGTCCTTTAAAATATAATGATAATACTGCAATTTAACTTCATGTAAAAGATTTTAATGTTATTATCCAAGGTTAAAGGTTTTGGGATTTCAAAATTACTGTTAGAACTTAAAACTTAATAACTTAGATTATACTCACATAATTATTATTTACCATGTTTTACTTTCCATTTTTTTCACAATTTTTATTAATCAATTTGATTCCATATTTCCAATTTCAAATTCTACCAAAAAGCACAAACAAGCTAATTATCCCTGAACATATGAAGCTGCCATAAGTCCAACTCTTGCAAACTAAAACCAAAGAGCCAAATTTTGAAAAAAATTCCGATGATCCTTTAAACAAAGCATTATGGGTATTATGATTTACGCCATACCAACAGTTTTACGCCCGTAAGAAAATTTACGCCTTGCTTATTTCAATTTATGCCAGGTTTACCACTTTTTTCTACGCCCGTAAGGACTACAAATTTACGTTTCCTGCTCCCTTACGCCTGGATCTAGACACGTAACTACCACTTACGCCTGGTTTACGCCTTATTTCCAGGCGTAATACGCCTTATAATTTCATACGGGCAGCAAGCTTGATGACAATCTTACTGCTGGGTTGCTGTCTTTCATGGAGCTGTAGAATATAAAGATTCTATTTCTAATGTTAACCTGTTGTTTTTTTGTTTTGTTTATCTTAAATATATATATATATTTATATGTTGACTCTTTGTCTGGTTTATTTTTTATTTTCCACTGGCAAAAAACATTTGATAAACAGGAGTGCCCACACTGATATGTTCAACTGCTTTCTGAGGCTGATCACAATTCAATTTATGCAGAAAGTCTTTATGATAAAATTATAACTACAAATATCACAAAAACTTTATAAATGACTATACGGTATACGTTTTATTCTTATGTGAGGTCAGGTGAACCATGTATTGGTGGCCTTCGGCTGTTGTCTGCTCTATTGTCGGGTTGTTGTCTCTTTGACACATTCCCCATTTCCATTCTCAATTTTACTTATTGATACGAAACCTAGCAATAATTTAATAGACCAAAAACTGTCTAACCTATAAATAATGATTGAGAAATTCACATGACAGCAAAAAACTTCGTAACATAAAGTATCTGTATACAATTTATGAAGGAAGCAGAACTTTTACCTCTTGAAAAATAAAGAGAGACAAAATAACAAAAACCAATTGTTCAGAGAACAATTGAAGGTCTTTCCACATCAAAGAAATTTTGAAAAGAAGATAGTTAATTTATTTTGATGCGATACATAAGTGGTTTCGATATAATTTGCTACTTCCAGTGAATTAACTGTCACTTCCGGTCTCATATGATAGCTTTTTTTTCACACTGATTCCAAAAAATATATAGTTTGTATATACTTTTGCCTGTAAAACAGGAGATAATTGGCCACTTCCTGTTCATCGAAAGTCTCTTCTAGTCTTTAGTGATTAGTTAATGTATCTACAATACAAAATATATGGATTCCTGTGAACCAAAATTTAGAAGTTACCACATGTTCAAATGACAAATTAATAGAAATATATTTTCAATATCTTGTACGGTTTATGAAAAGAAATGAGAATAAGACAAAATCAAAATTTAGAATTTTACCTTGACCTTTGACCTTGACCCATTTTTCTTTTTTTTGGACCAAGGACCTCAAATCCAAAGACCCTAGGTCTCTAACACTTTTGGTTTTTCATTTACCATTGCAAATTACTAATATCAAATGCATAAGGGGAAATAACTCTCATATGGAGTCTCCAGATAGCTTCGGTTCAAATGATACCCTTAATCCTGAAGACATAACGAGCAATTTGGTAAAATAAATTTGTAGTAATCTTTTACGGTTGCGAAGAAGTAGCAAACACAAGAAAAATAGTGTTTGGGGAGATAACTCTTACAAAGAAAAGTATTCGGTTAAGCAGGGTCAGTTTTGAAAGCGCATAAAATGTTCGATATCATATACCAAATATCAAATCGACATCTTGCGAAACAACCAAACAGCGAAAGAAAAAAAAATTAGGCGGAAGAAGAAAAAAATATAATCGAACAAAATCAATAGGTCTTTCCATGGAAAAGTGGAAAGACCTAATAATAATCAGAACAAAAACAATAGGTCTTTCCACAGAAAAGTGGAAAGACCTAATAATCAGAACAAATACAATAGGTCTTTCCACAGAAAAGTGGAAAGACTAAATAATAATCAGAACAAATACAATAGGTCTTTCCACAGAAAAGTGGAAAGACCTAATAAAGTGGAAAGGTAATTAAGAATTTAATGTGCGAATTTAATGTGTGAAGTACATCTGAGTGATGTGATCCCTAATTTTTCTTCCATCATTGGCTCCATTGTACACTGCATCTATATTAAGCATCTCCTCTTCTTGATCTTCTGGCAGTTCAGGCTCATTCATCCACAAAGCTATGTTGTGCAGAATGGCACAAGCCATGATAATGCTACATACCCTTTCAGGTTTCATACGAATCTATAAAAGTAAAAAGAATATTAAAATTTATTAAAAACAATATGAACTTATGACATTAGCAGTCTTATTAATTTGACACTCTTCCCAAATCTTTATTAAGCCATTTGTTCAGTGGTTGTCGAGTGTTCATGTTGTTCTTAGGTTTTTCCTTTTTTCTTTTTTTTTCTATAGGTTAAACTTGGTTTCCTTTTTGAACTGATTTACACTAGTCATTTTGGGCCCTTAACAGCTTGCTGTTCAGTGTTATACTTGGCTCCGTGTTGAGTGACTTATAATTGACCTATAATTCTTAACTTTTTATACAGTGGCGGATCCAGAAATTTTCATAAGTGGGGGCCCACTGACTGCCTAAGAGGGGGCCCGCTCCGGTCATGCTTCACTGATTTGCTATATAATTAACCATTTTTTTCCAGAAAAGGGGAGGCCTGGGCCCGCTAGCCCCCCCCCCCCCTCCTTCCCCCTTTCCTCTAAATGGATATCCACTATCCCCAAGTAAGATGCCACTTTCCCAGTTAGGTGCCTTTTCCATGTGTGTACATACCTAAACAATGAAATTGGTATATGTAAAACAAAATCATGTTTCAACTGGACAAATTGTCATGTAAATTAAGGGATGATAAAAATGAAAATATTTAAAGAAGAGTTCCAATATAAAAAAAGAAGATGTGGTATGAATGCCAATGAGATAACTCTCCACAATGACACAGAAATTAACAACTAAAGGTCACCATACGGACTTCAACAGTGAGCAAAACCCATACGCAATGTCCGCTGTATTGCATATATGTTATCTATTTAAGATACAAGGGCAATAACTAAATAAAACAATTTAAAACAATTTATATATCTGTTAAATTAGAGAAATTAAGGCTTCAGATAATGAAATGTCATTACCAATATAATTGATTGTTCTAAAAGGCTTAACTCTTTTAAAAATTAATTGCTCAGTGCTGTTTTTGAAACTCATCAAAAGCATTTATTATAAAACTTACAAGATAAACTTCATAAAAATCTAGCAAGATTTGTACACATAATTAAGGGCCCTTATGGGGCAATTTTCCATATTTTAATCATTATTTCCAAGAGGCATAACTATATGAAAAATAATTCATCAGCGGTGATTTTTTAACTCGTTCAAGACACATACAAATATTTTTTGTCAAGATTATGCATAAATTTGTCAATGATAACAATAAAAAAATGGAAGAAAGATTTGACTTAACATATATATACCTGTGCAGTTCTGAAGATGTGTGCATCGTGTGCATTTCCTGGCCAGGATGTGTTGATATTTGTAAATTTTCCTGTAAAAGAAAATAGTGAATTAATTATAGAGCACATGCAATTCTCAACTAGCAAAACCAGTTAAACAAAGAACTAAGGACATGTTTTTTTTCCCATTGAATTCAAATTCAAATTCAAATATCTTTATTCCTAATAAAGAGCATATAAATCAACACAAATCACAAAGTTCATACAATATCCACACAAACAACACATGCAATCTAACATACAAACTGATTGTTAATAATTAGATATGATTTAGAACAAATATGGAAACATGATAATAAAAACAATAAGTACATGATAGGAGAGAGCCAGTACAAAGAGGAATAACTCTATTTATTTATCTTAACTTTGAATTGGCATGGATCAAAAACACACAAACACAAGTTCATCTGAAACTTAGTTAATGAGACAGTCCCACTTAATATGCTATAGAATTGCCAATTCCATTGAACACGAGGAAACTATTATCAATATACCAACATTCGTATATATGCGTATATCTTGTATTTTGAATGGTTCGAGTATGCAATGGTTCAAATTAGGTACGAGTTGTCAAGGTACGAGTTTGCAAGGAAGTAGTTGACTTGCTTCCCTTTAATTTTTGTTTTTGCTATAAGGGACATTACACTTTTGTAAACATACCATCTGCATCACACACGGCCTGCACATTGATGCTATGGTACCCTTTCCTGTTAACATATGATGCCTCATCAGTGGTAGGTGCCTGTATTTGTACATGTGTACCATCAATGGCTCCATTTACATTGGGAAACCCTCCAATTCTGAAATTCCCAGCCTTTATTTTATTTTTTATCACTTCTTGGCCATTTAATAAACTCGTTCTGCCTCCTACACAATGCAACTGTGGTGTCCTTTACAACCCTTGACACTGTGCCTTTGTCCAACCCTTTAAAAAGAAATTTTTTATTAAAACCATGATGACATAAGAAGAAATTGGCAACATAGATATTGAGGGTAAATTCTGTAATATATTAACATTAAAAACAAATAAATAAATGAATACAAATATAATAATAAAATCAATTAAATTCTTACCAAGTGTGTCTCCATACTTGTAGGAAACTTCCACTGGCCAAAAATCTTAGTGTAACCATGACTTGCTGTTCCACAGTGAGTGCATGGTTTCTGTGTGTCCCTCTCTGTAAGTCATCCCTAACAAGGTCTGAGAGCACCAAAATACTACGTCTGCTGAATTGATATCGTGTCCTTAACTCCTCATCAGTGAAATCCAAAGATAAGCCATCCCTGTTGCGAAAATGTCGCGGTCTTCTTTGTTAGGGAACATTGTATAATACTAAGCCAGCCATGTTTAATGCAGTCGTTAGTATTTAATCATGGGTAAAAATATGATTAAATTAGCGAGAGTTTAACACAAAGGTTAACGATAATATTTTTGAACAACACTTAACATTATCGTTAAATTATAACGACACGTTAACGACAGTTTAACGCAGTCGTTAGCCTAACGACACCTTTGAACAACTGGGCCCTGATTGTTATTACACGGATGCGGGTGATACAAAAGGAACAATCAAATACATGAGTCGATCAGAAACCCACAAAACTACGACGAAAATAGAAAAATCTACCATAAGATAGAGAACTGTCTACAAAACAATACATACAAATAATGTATGACCGACATGAACCCAACACTGCGGATGATGACAGTCGCTCCGCACAGGTATGCAGTGCATGATCCATATGTATAACCGGTCGTGTTGCCCATGGTAAAAGACGGTGAAAAGTCTTACTTGTGTAAGATTATGTGAACATCGAGACTTTAGGACAGGATTGTGGCTCAGACAACTGAAGCAAATCGGTAGTTATCTGTGACATACATTTACACTGATAATAGGGTATTTATTTGTAGAGGCTTAGAAATGGGGTAAAGAAGGTAATCCCCTAACTTTCAAAAATGGGCGCGAGACAAAAGAAAGCTTTTAATTGACGCCACTCTCGCCTCCAGACTGTTTGCCATTTATTTTTTAACGAAAGAAAATGTTTATGAAAAAAATACATTAACTAACTGCTAGACAATAAGACATTAGTAGAATAGAGAAGGGTTTTATGTTTGCTTGTCACCTTTGCAAGTTTGTATCCCCTTTTAGACAACTTAGAGTGTTAACGCAAAATAATTGATTTATTAAAAACTAAATATCTTCAAACATCATACATTTAGTACATACACCTGTATGGACATGCATCTTTTGTGTTTCATCTGCAACTGTCTCAAAAATACAAAATGTGTTACTCTTTAATCAAAAAGGTCGTACAATTCAGATACAAAATAAAAGTTATAAAGATACATGCCAGTAAAGACTAGCCGTATAGTTCACTTGCACATAAAGTGGGGTGAACGGTCCTCGGCTATTGACTCAGATTTGACTTGTCTAGCAGAAAAAAAACTATACGATACCTGCTGTTACTGCACCGTTTTTATGTTTTTTTTTAATCTAAAACATAATATGAACTTGTTATGTGTGTTCTGATTTTTTGTTTTGATTTGTTAAATCTTTCTTGGAATATTTGTGGGTGTGATGAATAAGAATGTAACTAAATAGGGGACCTTATATCTACTGTTTTGTGCAAAGTGCAACATGCTCAAGGATGCAAAGTTATATTGAAATATTCCAAAGTAAAATATAGTTCCATGAACATCATTTTTAGTTCGGCATAAACGATGTAAAAGCTTTATATATCTAGTTAGACATTTACTTTGAATTGCTTTAGAAATAATGCAGGGTGGTCAGGCCGACTAATATATTCTGATCACTTGAATGGTAGTTAAAACATGTTTTGTAAAAACATAAGTATTTTCACAACAAAAGATCAAAATTTTGACACAATTTCTGTTCTTGGTATCAAAATGACATACCGAGATGTTTTTTAATTTTTGTTTCTTTGTTTGAAACTTGTTGGAAAATACATATTACCTTAAAATTAGCTTTTATATAATTTTACAGGTGTATAACATTCCTATGCGGTGTTATAGAATATGATTTACTATTGTAAGATATTTCTACAGCATCTTAAAATTCAAATGAACGTTCATTGAACGTTACAATCATAATTGAAGAAGACTGTGGTATACGTAAATAAGCCTATCCTAGATATTTAAAATTTATCAAAAGGAGAACAAAGTCTTAAAACAAATATCGTTATCATGCATTAATCAAAGAGACGTTAAATAAATTAGAAAAAAATATCAAGCTGCGATCAGCAGTAATTTGTCAAGTAACAAACATTTTTGAGAGGACAAAAGACAACCAACATCTCTCGAATGAAAATCAGGTAATACATTGCTGTTAGAATTAATATGTTAGCTCCTGTAGTTTTAGAATGCCTAGTTTTGCTCGTTGGTTTAAGTAGTTCCTCATTAACTATCGCCACATTCTATGAATTTGTAAATATAAGAATCACTCTCTCTGTTTTTGTAAGTGTTCGAAATCTTAAACATTTGATTGTACAAACGGGCTTTTCTTTATCTTTATGTAGGGATATATCGAACAACATTCTAACTAGCGTGCCTGATGCTGTTTTTCGGAACAATGTCGAGTTGATATATTTGTAAGTAAAACATAACTTTTGATTCAACTTTGGCATTGCAAACCTTTGCCCTGGTAATTACTGTTTATTTTATTTCGAACATATATGTTCAATGTAGACAAAATATGTGATATAAAATAGGTCGTTTACTACCTCGAACATAAACCGTTTACATTGAATTGTATGTTTAATTCCCCATATTGTTGATCAATTCTAAATTTAATCCAGGTAATGAAAAAAAAAAGTGTTAACATGAATGTAAAATACTGACCAGATTGTTATTACAAGGATGCGGGTGATACAAAAGGAACAATCAAATACATGAGTCGATCAAAAACCCACAAAACTACGACGAAAATAGAAAAATCTACCATAAGATAGAGAACTGTCTACAAAACAATACATACAAATAATGTATGACCGACATGAACCCAACACTGAGGATGATGACTGTCGCTCCGCACAGGTAGGCAGTGCATGATCCATATGTATAACCGGTCGTGTTGCCAATGGTAAAAGACAATGATAAGTCTTACTTGTGTTAGATTATGTGAACATCGAGACTATAGGACAGGGTTGTTGCTCAGACAACTGACTCTAATCGGTAGTTATCTGTGACATAGAAAATCAACAAACTTATGACGACATACGCAAAACTTTCGAGAAAAGAGAGTACTTCAGATTTACCTCTTTTGACCAACTATTTGATAACTATTTGATAACTTCATCGAAAGCAGTAGCTCTCTATCTAAAAAATATGATATTAACGTTAGCTCTTGAATATTGTTTTAACACGTAGATTTATACTTTCTATGAAACGCTGATAAAATGTTGCTACTTAGAAATGGAAACATCACAGTTTAAACTGAAATCATTCTTTTGATTTACAGTGTTATTACTAACAATCCTTCTTATTCCTAAATGTTAGTCAAGATATATTTAGGTGGTATCCTTGATTTTAAGTTCGATAAGATGGATGTGTTTAACACAGTCACCAAACAGTGAATTATTTAACGTCAGGACATCGTCTGTTTAGCGAAACCAGAGGTTAAAGGATAACGTAAGCTTCTTTATTATTTTATGTATGACAAACGACTCTTGTGAATAACAACAAACAAGTCGAAAGAGGAGCACAGTTCATAACCCATATGAACTACTATTGTATGCTTGTCAATAAAAGGACCATGCATAACTTTTTGTTTGAAACAGAATGATGTTTACACAATTTAAATTGTTCCTTTCTGAGGGAAGATATTTGAATTTACGCACAAAAAAGTCAAGGTTGAATAGTAATATTAAAATCATCCAAAGTAAAATATAATTTCATTAACATTATTTTTAGTTTGGCATTAAAGGTAAATATAAACAGGTAAAAGTTATTTAAAAACGCTTGAAAAAGAATTCAGGCGGGTCTAGAAGACCGATATATCCTGATTACTTGATGTTACATTTGGACAAGAACTATTCAAAATTTGGACACAATTTCCATTCTAAATGACATACCGAGATGTCTTTTTTAAAATGTTTATCTATTTGAAACCCGCTAGAAAATAGATATTACCTCCGGATTAGCTCTTATATCATCAGTAAGGATAACACAATCATATGCGGCGTTATTGAATATAATTTACTGTTGTAAGACATTTATACAGCATCTTAGTGTTAAACTTGAACGTTCATAGTACGTAAAAACTATGATTCAAGAAGACTGTGGTATACGTGAATAAGCACAGCGACTAAACATAAAAAATATTGAAAACATATCGAAAGGAGAACGAAGTCTTTAAAAATGTCATGATCATGCACCAAACAAATTAAACGTTGTGAATAAAAGGAAAAATAGCTGAAACCTGTACCATTTTGTCAAGTAACAGGTAAATTATAAGTGCACATTATACAGTCAACACCTGTTATAAAACAACCAACGAATGACAAGGTTGTCCATCTTAATTGTACTTTGTTTATTCAAATCATATGTTAATACAGAAAAACATCGTCATACAACCGGTTTTTACATTTTGTCAGTTCAAAGGGACTTGTATACATAAGATTTACTCTCCTTTAAGTACCAAGTCAGGAATGGGACATTTGGAATCAAATAGTTCATTTCTATGTATGTTGGCGTTTGTTTTTTGTTGCACTTCAGTGTTTCTGTTGTTCCGTTGTTTTCCTCTATAG